ACTCTTCACCGTGTTCACAGGTACTCCACAGTGGACACAGGAACACAAGAACTCACAGTGGATGGGCAAAAGCCTGAGGTGATGCCTACCTTGCCAAGCAGTTCTCCTCGGCAGCACATCTCAAGTTATACATGGACATTCTCTGGACATATGTGGACGCCTGGATGTAATAGGGATCCGGGACTAAGTCAGGGAGACCTGCAGTTCATCAAACCAACCACATAACAGCAAGATCAACCCAGGACACGTTTGCAGATATTTGGCTACCATCCCAATCGTTAGGAGCCGTCGTTTTGTTACGGACCCCTGCCCTCCGTTAACCTCGCTCTCCTCCCCTTTGCTCAGGCTCTTCGGCTTTTCCCAAAGATCACATCGCAAACACGACGCCCAGAATCCCGCGGTGGGCTAATGGACGTGCCCTCCGCAGCTCCCCGCTCTTCCAGCCGCGGGGACCGCGGGCCGCTGGGATTCCCGCCGGGCTTTCCGCCGGGATTCCCGCGGGCCGGGAGCCGGGCGATCGCCTGTCTGGTCGGGTTTTGCCCCAACAGAAGGGCTGGCAGCGCCGGCGACCCCCGCAGCGCATCCCGCCGGGACCGGCGTGCGCGGGAGCGAGCGGGGCGGCGCGGCGGGGCCGAGAGGGACGGGTCGGGACGGGCGGGAAGGAGGGCTCTTACCGTACTGGAAGTAGCCAGTGCCGTAGCCGGGTCTGTACCTGCTGCCCTGGCGGGGCCTCTCGTAGGTGTCGTAATAGTTGTAGTAGGGGTTATCGTCTGTGTACTTGTAGGGGTTGTAGGGGTCGTCTCCTACCATGACATCTTCCCGCCCGGGCCTGAAGCTGCCGAGGGGCGGCAGCCCGCCGGCCCTGGTGCTGCTCCCGTTGCCGTCGGTGCCGGTGCCGCCGGCGGGGCTGGCGGGGGCGCTGGGTCGCGGCGCCCCCGAGGAGGCGCTCCTGGCCGCGGGGGTGGCGAGCGCTTGGCTCCGCTGCCCGGCGGCGGCGCGGCCTCCGGAGGAAGGCTGGTAGCCGGCCTGGAACCAGTGCCGAGCACCGGAGCCGCCCCGGGTGCCGGCGGCGGGCGGGGGCTGTGGCTGCGCGGCGGCGGCGCGGGTGGCGGCTCTGCGGGGCAGCACCGTCCCGTTGTTCCGCAGCAGCAGGATGGGGCTGCCCGCCGCCTCCGCCGCCTGCCTGCGCCGCGGGGGCTGGTACTGGGAGCCCAGGCTGAGCAGGCTGTACACCTGCCCGTTGTTCTCCCACTGGATCCGCTGCCTCCAGCCGGCGGGGGGCGGCGGGGGATCCCGGCGCAGCGGCTGCTGCTGCTGGCAGCCGGCAGGCCACAGGCAGCTCCAGTAGATGCACGCGAGGAGCTGGGCGAGCCGGAGCCCCGGCGGCGCGAATCGCATCTTCTCCTCTTTCCTAGGAGCCGGCGGGAAGAGAGATACGGGAGAAACCGGGGGAGAGGGGGCCGAGCGGAGAGAGAGGGGCTCCTTTCCTGCTGGAGATGGGGCGGGGTGGTGCGGGAGGACGGGGAGTGCGGGCTGCACCTTTGGAAGGGTCAGGCGGGTAGCGGGGTCTCAGGCGCTGCGGCACCCGGGCGGTGCCATCGGGCAGGTCGGGCCGTCGGAAAGGAAACGCGGCCCGGGGGAGGCGGCGGGAGCAGCTTTTCTTCTCCCCAGTATTTATAGGCGAGGGGATGCGAAGGGGAGCCGGAGCAAACAATCAGCCTCTCATCGTCCTTCGGCCCGCGCTGGTGTCTGGAGCGAGGGAAGGAGGAGGAGGAGGAGGAGGAGGAGAGACCAGGGACTTTAAACTTGCTGGCACGCTCGCAAAGTTACACAAGCCCCGCTGGCTGGGCTGGCTGCGCCCCCGCCATTTGTTCACGTAATGCGGCTGGAAACGTGCGGCCCTGACAGTTCCCCCCACGGCCGCCCCCCGCCCGCCTGCCCCGTGCGGGGGCGGCCCGGGGGGAACGGGGCGGCTCGGGCCGGCGCGTCGGCGGGGGCTCCCCATCCTCCCTCCCTGCCTGCCTCCCCCCCTCCTTGCCTACCTCCCCCCTCCCTCCCTGCCTGTCTCCCCCCGCGCCCCGAGCCGCGCCGAGCCGTGCCGAGCCGAGCCTGCGGCGGGCGGGCGCGCTCAGACACACGTAGGCTGCCAGAGTATGCCGTGGGGCAGCGCCAAAGTATGCAAAGGAAAAATGCTATTAGCTCATCAGCGCTGGAGAGACTAAAAACGGGGTGACGGGGAGGGGGAAGGGGCCGCTGGCGAGAGAGGAAACATGTTTCTGGAAAATGTGCTGGCCGGCACATCTCCCGGGCTGGAGCAGCTGCTGGGGACCTTCGTCTCAGCGCTGAGTAACGGTCGGATCCCCTTAATGACCTCTTAATTAGAAGAAAACCTCCATCAAATAAACTCTTGACTATTGACTTTTGGATTTTGTGCGTATGAGTCACACGAGAAATATACTGGCGATGCTCCTCCCGGAGTAAGTTTTCATTGAAAAGTGAAATTTCACATGGGAGAGGCTTAGCCCCGTCACCAGAACAAATAAACCGAGTTCGGGCAGTGTCTCCCCAAAATCGTGCTGGGGAAGAAGAGCAGACTGTGGCCTGAAAGCCTCTCCCTCCCTTCCTGCTTTTACAAGAGTTCATCAAGGCTATGTTTTGATAAGTCCAATCACCCACCAAGGCAAAAGAATTAAGGTCCATGGATTTCCGCCAAAACTCCTTTTGGTTGTATTTTTCCAAGGGCTGTTTGCTTATGAATCCTTGCACAGGAACTGAGAAAAATACACAAAAGTTCTCCTTCACCAGAAGTGTGGTGGTGAGGATATTTCTTAAGTGATTCCTGTCAGAGATGATCAGCCCGAGGTTGGAGGTTTTTACCCTACTCAGGTAGATTCAAGGCACCTTCCAACTGCCGGCCTCCCCAGATCAGGTTAATAAACTATCTGTTATTGGCCAGGTGGATATCTGCCACTACATTTTGTTGTTCTCCTGTCATTTGTTGTATTGTAGTTTATTTTAATTGCATATTACTTTAAATGGTTCACATTTAATAATTGAAAACCAGCAAAATGCAATCCTACATTGTGGCTGTGATGGACTGTGAATGCTGATTTACACTGCTGTTGAATTATTAGTGTTAGCTCTTGTCTTTAAAGCACTTTTACCACCCTGAAATCAGTGATGCCACCCTGAGTGTCAAAGTTCTTCCCGCAAACAGGTGGGCTATTAGCAGTGGCCAGTGCCTGGCACCAGCTGCTCAGCGGACCAAGCTTGCTTGCTCTGGTCTCCACCTTAGGAGATAAGTGTTCAGCCCTGTGGACTTCATTTCCCTGCAGTCACCCAAACAACCAGGAGGATTAAAATCACTGGGAAATCAGCAGTTAACTGAAAAAATTCTCGATCTGGAGAATTCTGAGGAACACAGGGAGGTACGCATCAAAGACATCAAAGTCTTCTTACTTGAGAATCCATCCAATAGCAAAGTGGGTGCTTGTTATCATTGCTAGCCAGCACCAGGCTGGTAGGGAACATCTGCTGGACTGGGCCCCCAACTGGAACAATAACTGGTGTCTTTCCACAAGTAGATTGTGCATGATGGTCCAGTTTGGAGCTAGTTAGGGTTGGGCAGCCTTCTACAGAGGTGACTGGGTTTGGGCTCTCTTACTCATCATATTTGCATGCTTCTCATCCCCTCTGATCTTTCTCATTGTGGCTTTGAAAATATTATTCTCCATTTAAGGGTTTGCCTGGAACAATCAGTGACTAAGACTGAGTAAAATGGAAAGGTTGAAGTTAGGGAAAATGCAACACTGAAGGAATGAGGTTTCTGTCTTTCTAATCTTCCTCTAAATCTTACTAGTGTTACAAATAGCAGGTTGTTGCCCAATGTGTGATATTAGACAATGTTTCCACACAGTGGGATCCTAGCCATTTTTTTTTCCTGCCTGATTAAGTTACTATTTTTCATGAAACTGGAGAAAGCATATTTGAGACTAGTATTCTTGCCCACCTGTCAGTCATTCATGTTGTTTGTCATTTTTTCCATAGTACCAGTTTTATTTGTTAATTAATTTATTTTTCATAATGCTTGCAGACCACCATCAGCACTCCTAGAGAGTCAGATCCTTTACTTAGCATTAGGTGCCTATGTCCATTTAACTACTGTCCTTTCCTCACAGGTTGCCCATTTATACCAAGTTTTTACATCACGAGTCTGTCTAGACCATCAAAAAGTCCAACTCTGTGACCTGAGGTGTGGAGGCGAACATTTCTGCAATACTTTAAAAAGTCAAGCAAGTAAGCAAGTCAAGTACTGTGATTGCTTTAAAAATGCCCTAGAAACTGTCAAGCACTCTGATATTAAACTTTCTCACAAGGTCAGTACAGCTTCTTTGTAAAGCCCAGTTCTGATACTGGATCATAGTTAACTTGGTTACTGAAGCATTTGCCCAACCCTTTCTTTTTTGGCTGGAATGACTGGTATGCCTGGGTATTTGTTTCACTAGGGATTTTGATTTCTGCCACCTGCAGAAATAAATACAGTCTGTATCAGCTGAGAAGTAAAATTTCCTTCACTAAAAAATTACACTAATTGAAGCAGATATCAGTAAGTAATTGCAGTAATGTCTCAAAACCTGAGATAAGGAGGTAATTTGTATTTAGTGTAGAAAAAGTGAAATAGTTTTAAATGACAGTTTACATGAATCACATTATTTGTTACTTTTAATATTATTTTTAAAGTAATATCAATTCTGTTGTTGTGAGATGGCTAATTTGTGTTCTTGTTTAGTCGTAAATTGGTAGCTAGAGTCACATATGTAAAACAAGAAATATAAATAATTTTCTAAAATCCTAAGAGGAAGCTAAACAAACTTAATATGTGTTAAGTATATTTATAAGCTGGTCGTTATTCATTTGGGATTGAAGGGTTGGTTATTGAGGAGTGACTATTAGAAAAATCTCAAAAAGTAGGGGTTGGTTTCAGCTTTTTGTGTCTGAGAAAAATTCAGTATACTCATCTGATTTATGCTTGAGTAGACAAAGTACTCACTCTGATTCTTCTGTTCACATAAACACTGAGTTGCAACTAGATTATTAAAATTTATCTTGTTCTGTAGATCTTACTTAAAACAGATTTTATAGCTTGTCATTTTTTGCATTCAAACATTGAAAAATATGTAATTTTGTTGCAATCAGAACACTGGATTTTTCTGAAGCATATTTTACATAAGGTTCAGGTATTTTTATTTAGAAACTCACTTGTCAGTGCATTGGATTAAAAGGATCCTAATTATAATGAATTCTCCTTAATAGTTGGAATTAAGATGTAAAAGTATTCTTTACAGGATGTAAACTTCACTAGAAACTAAGAACTCTGAGTATTTTCCTATTCAGGTCTGTAATGAGATTTTTTTTTTAACAAACCAACTTAATTAGAGACAAGAGTTGTAGACTTTTTCTGACACCAGTAGTCTTTGAAGCAGGCTGTAAGAATTTATTTTTACAAAAGTTAATTTTCTAGTTAAATTTAGTTACCCTGTGTATGTCTGATTTTGAAGTCTCTAATCAGGCAACTTCCCACTACCAAAGCAAAAGGAAACTTTCAGACGTTTTGTTTTCTGATCTGAATTTATAAAGGAACAAATAGATTTTTGTTGATTCAAAGTACTTGTCAATTTGTTGAAAAAAAGAAGATTATTAGAATTTTATTAGCAGGTAATGTTGATTCAAAATTAGTGGCCACCTGTCCCCTATCTAATATTTTGGGTTTATCTATGTGCATGACAGTAGTAGTTTGTGGTTGCTTTGTCTTATACATCACATTTAGGACTGCTAAATTTCACATACCTATACCAAATGAAGTAAATTAACCACGCTTGTCTATCTCTTCAGGATCTGACAGCATTGTGAAGAAAAGCATTTACAGGACCTGAGACAGCTGTTGCTGTTTTCTTGTGTGAGAGCTGAAGACAAAGCCTTCTGATGTCAACGGACTTTTTGTTAAATTGTGGATTTGCAATAAGGTTTTAATAGCAATATTTTTTAAACCTTGAGTATTGACATGTTGTTAAATCTGAATATGAGTGGCTTCACGGGATGCAGTGGCATAGTTTCTTTCTTGAACCTAGACTTTAAAACAGCGTAGTGAAAATTAAATAAAAAACCTCTAATTTCTTGAATTTATAGTGTGTTTCATCTCTTAATATTTTTTCTAACTTTTCTCTTTGTTTCTGTTTGTCTTCCAAGATTTCTCTAAAAGTGAGATTTCTCAAAATGTGATATAAATAGGTAAATATGCAGCTATTGCAATTTCAGTCAGATTTGAAACTCTGTCAAAGTTAATTCTTTTCTTACATGTCAACATCTGTAATGAAATCTTCCCTAATTATTGTCTTTGTGTGTGCAAAGCTTAGTATCAGCAATATAAGCCGGTATGTTTGTTTTGATTTCAGAAAGTTGTCGGATGACATGTACAAAGGAATAGAAATCCAAGACACTCGAAGTAAAAAGCCCATTATCTGTGCATTGATACCTATGATAGGGACTAGTTAATTTCATTTAGCAAGGTTAATAAAATTCAAATTAGATTAGTACAATACATGTGTAAACAGTACCTTATTGCTTAGAGAAGTTCAGTCCTGAATTGTCATTACAAGCAGAGCACACGCTAAAGAACTGCCCACCGTCTCAGACACAGCTACCTAATTTTATTGAAGATTTTGAATACTGAGGAGACATTATCATGAAAAACTCAAAAAAACCTGGCTGGACATTTCTATACACAGGCATGTCTTTGCTGTGGCAGCACTCCAAAATTAGTCTTTCCTTCTGCATATTTTGCACAAAAGCAAAAAAACACAACTAGTAAGTCTAAGCTAAGAAAGACTTGAGAGAACAGTTAGTTTTGAATTGAGACATTCATCAGGCTGTTTTGAGATTATGGACATTATGTATAATGGGAGAGGAATGAATAGCTTTCAAAAATCTGTCATTTGCCTTCTGTCTTTGGCAGGGGAGAAGTCCCTGTAAATCATTCACAAAGGGGAACACTGTCAAACGTAATGTAAGAGTTGAACATGTCAGCAGAAATTTTGGAGCGATTTTACTATGCATCTCATAAAAAATAGCTAGTGTGGCAGTGATGTCTTTAAAGCTTTCTTTCCTAAAATAGCATAAGGGAGTTCTAGATTCATTATGTCTTGGTCATCATATCTAGGTTGACTATTTTACAAGTAGATATAATTCCTAACTGTTCTATATACCTTGATCTGATAGTTCTTTTTCATCTAGTGTATAGCATCTTTGTCTTAATAACCATCCCTGAATTTGAATGGCTGTGTCCTAGTTAGGACAACTGAGACCAGTTCATCAGGGTATGGGTGTAACCCAAAACTGTGTATTCTATAGCCTTCCATGCCATTTCCCAGAAACTGTTATCAATGAACCATTTACACCATCTGCCCATAGAGCCTGACTCCTCCGGCTATAAACTAGGTGTTAAGAGGCCTGTGAGATAGGAGGATGCTCCTGTCCTCACACCCTTTGTGGAACTCCCCGCCCTGAGGGAAGTGCTGAGCATTCCTGCCTGAACTGCAGGATATATAATCTTGGAGTCTTGGAACATTTTTAACCACTCTGTGGGATCCAGAGAAGGACTGCGGCTCATTGCTCTCAAACAGACTTGGCTCACCACCCTATACTGGACTCCAATCACCACTTTGACCAGACTGCAACAGCTCTCCCCCCAGCATCTCACTGCAATCACCACTTTTGACTAGACTGCAACAGCTCTCCCACCAGCAGGTTCTTCCCCTCTCCCTTTACTTTGGACTCAAGCGGGGCCCAAGGAACACCACGTTGTTCATGCCCCAGGGTACTGGGTTATACATTTGGGTTTTGTGGGTTATGACCAATTGTTTGTTTGTATGATTGTACTTTCTGTATTATTTTAGTAAATTGTTATTCTGACTTATAATCTCTCCTTTGAGTTGAGTTCATTTCCCCTGCTGGTTAACTCTTAAACCAGCACATTTTTTGGCGCCCAACGTGGGGCAGAGAGAGAGAAGTCAGAATCACAATTTCACTTTAAGCATTTGTCTATTTGGATATAGAAACTCCCTGATCACCATGTTGTTTGATGCAGTCACATGGATGTTGTATTTGAGTCTGTTCATATTTCCACAGATGGGGCATTATCTGCCTGTTTTGATGCTCTCTTTAAGACCAGGGAGAGGGATCCAAATTGCTTTATTAGTATATTATGTTTATGTCATTCTAACATCAGAAGCAATGAGTTTCATTGTAAATGTGTATTCAGTCCTGTTTGCCTGTCCTGGTTTGGGTTGCTACCTCTGGGGCTTCATTAAAAATCGTACCCAGCCCTTTGGGGGAACAGGGGGGGATGGTTGCTTCCAGCCTCTCACCTCCTTCTTCCCCTTCAGACCTGCTACAACAGTTTTTGAAAATATTGAGTTCCCTTTTGATGTTAAGGACAGCATAATGTTATTGTTAGTGTTGCTCTGTCTGCTCTGTACTGTGTACACCATGTTTAGGGTCAGAACAGGGCCTTCTAGGGAGATTGTTTGGACACCTGCCCTGGGAGCAGATAATGCTGAGTGGCACGGGAAGTGGGAGGACATCAGCCAGTATTTGGAGAAGTTTTCTCCTCCAATGATCTGGAAATTCACCCCTGAACAACTGCAGGATCCTGTTAGCATGATAAGACTGGTGAAGGAAAAATGCTCTGGCAGCTCCAGAGATGGCCAGCTCACAGCAACCTGCTGGGCCCTGGCCACTGCCTACCGGACACTACTTGACATGGTACAGCACTGTCAGGGGGAGGAGAGAAGGACCAAATCCGCAGGCACCACGTCCACCCAAACCACAGCTGAGTCAGAGGGAGAAAGAAATAAACCAACCGGCACCGTGTCCACACAAACCATCGAGGAGCCAGAAGAACAACCAAAACCAATAGCAGTCGCCCCTGTCCAGAAAAGGAAATCAAAGACTAAATCAGTCCGTATAGCAAATGATGACGGAGAGGCAGGACCTTCACATCCACTGGAGGAGACAGAGCCAGAAATAATCACTCGGTCCCTATCCCTGGGTGAGCTACGCGAGCTCCGGAGAGAGTTCACAAGACAGGCGAACGAGTCCATTCTGACCTGGCTGCTCCGAATCTGGGATGCCGCAGCTAACGATACAATCCTAGATGGGAGTGAAGCCAGACAGCTGGGATCCCTGTCTCGAGATGTAGTCATTGATCAGGGGATTGGAAGGAGGCAGGAAACTCTCAGCCTCTGGCGGCGACTGTTGTGCAGTGTGAGGGAGAGATACCTTTGCAAGGAGGACCTCCACGTACAGCAAGGACAGTGGAACACGATGGAACAAGGTATCCGGTGCTTAAGGGAGTTAGCTGTACTGGAGATAATCTTTTCCGATGATGAAAGATTCCCTAAAAGTCCAGATGGCGTACAGTGCACCTCCCAGATGTGGTTAAAGTTTGCACGACTCGGGCCAGAAATGTATTCCCGCTACTTAGCAACGCTGCAATGGAGGGAGGGAGAGGACAAGGTGGGAGCATTGGTTAGTAAACTCAGGATGTATGAAGACACTGTCACCGCCCCATTACGAGCCCACGTCTCATCTGTGGAAACCAAACTGGCTGAACACGTCCGAAGCCTGGAAGAGAACATTGAAGAGGGACACCAGAAGCTAAGAGAGGAAATTAAGGAAGGGATCTTCCATATCTCACCAGGACAAACAAGAGTCTCTGCTATTAGGAGCCAGCGTCCCCCAGCTAAGGAGAGAAGGTACACTCCACGTGGCGATCTATGGTTTTACCTCCGTGAGCACGGAGAAGATATGAGGAAGTGGGATGGGAAACCCACCCCTTCCTTAGCAGCCCGGGTACGTGAACTGAAAAGAGGAACAAATACCATAAAGAACTCTTCAAGGGTAAACGTTGCTCCAGTCTCTCGTGGGCAAGACTCCAGACGGTACAGGAATGATGATACGTCTGATCCTCTTGAAGGGACCTCCAGGTCATACCCACAAGAAGAGCACAATGAGTACCATGACCAGGACTAGGGGTGCCCTGCCTCTAGCCAGGTAGAGGAAAGGGACAATCGAGTCTATTGGACAGTGTGGATTCGGTGGCCTGGCACATCAGAGCCACAAAGGTATAAGGCCTTAGTGGACACCGGCGCACAATGTACTTTAATGCCATCAAGATACGTAGGGGCAGAATCCATCTCCATTTCTGGGGTGACAGGGGGATCCCAACAGCTGACTGTACTGGAAGCTGAAGTGAGCCTGACTGGGAAGGAATGGCACAGACACCCCATCGTGACTGGCCCAGCGGCCCCGTGCATCCTTGGCATAGATTACCTGAGGAGTGGGTATTTCAAAGACCCAAAAGGACTTCGTTGGGCTTTTGGCATAGCTGCTGTGGAGACGGAGGAAATTAGACAGTTGAACACCTGGTCTCTCAGAGGACCCCTCTGCTGTGGGACTGCTGAAGGATGAAGAACAATTGGTACCAATAGCCACAGCAACAGTGCACCGTCGGCAATACCGCACCGACCGAGACTCTGTGACCCCTATACATAAGATGATCCGTGAACTGGAGACCCAGGGGGTGGTCAGCAAGACTCGCTCACCCTTTAATAGCCCTATATGGCCAGTGCGTAAGTCCAGTGGGGAGTGGAGGCTGACGGTGGATTACCGTGGACTCAATGAAGTCACACCACCCCTGAGTGCTGCTGTGCCGGACATGCTGGAGCTCCAGTACGAGCTGGAGTCCAAGGAAGCCAAGTGGTATGCCACCATTGACATTGCCAATGCCTTTTTCTCCATTCCTTTGGCAGCTGAGTGCAGGCCACAATTTGCTTTCACTTGGAGAGGTGTGCAGTACACCTGGAATCGACTGCCTCAGGGGTGGAAACAGTCCCAGCATTTGCCATGGACTGATCCAGACTGCACTGGAAAAGGGTGAGGCTCCAGAGCACCTACAGTACATTGACGACATCATTGTATGGGGGAACACGGCGGGTGAAGTCTTCGAGAAAGGAGAGAAGATAATCCAGATTCTCCTAAGAGCCGGTTTTGCCATTAAACGGAGTAAGGTCAAGGGACCTGCTCAGGAAATTCAGTTCCTAGGAGTGAAGTGGCCAGATGGACGCCGCCTAATTCCCATGGAGGTGATTAACAAAATAGCAGCCATGTCCCCACCAACCAGCAAGAAGGAAACACAGGCTTTCTTAGGCGCTGTGGGCTTTTGGAGGATGCATATCCCCGAGTACAGTCAGATTGTAAGCCCTCTCTACCTTGTGACACGGAAGAAAAATGATTTCCAGTGGGGCCCCGAACAACAACAAGCCTTTGAACAAATTAAACAGGAGATTGCCCATGCGGTAGCCCTTGGGCCAGTAAGGACAGGACAGGACGTGAAGAACGTGCTCTACACCGCAGCCGGGGAGAATGGCCCTTCTTGGAGCCTCTGGCAGAAAGTGCCTGGGGAGACCCGAGGACGACCGCTGGGATTCTGGAGTCGGGGATACAAAGGATCTGAAGCCAGTTATACACCAACTGAGAAAGAGATCCTGGCTGCCTATGAAGGAGTTCGAGCTGCCTCAGAAGTAATCGGCACCGAAGCGCAGCTCCTCCTGGCACCCCGACTACCAGTGCTGGGCTGGATGTTCAAGGGAAGAGTTCCTTCCACACATCACGCCACTGATGCCACGTGGAGTAAGTGGATCGCTCTGATCACGCAGCGAACCCGGATAGGGAACCCTAATCGCCCTGGGATTCTGGAAATTATCACCAATTGGCCCGAAGGTGAGAGTTTCGGACTATCCTCTGAAGAAGAGGAGGAGAAGGTGACACGGGCTGAGGAGGCCCCACCATATGACAAGCTACCAGCAGATGAAAGGCGATATGTGCTCTTCACGGATGGCTCCTGCCGCATTGTAGGGACAAACCGAAAATGGAAGGCAGCTGTATGGAGTCCCACACGGCGGGTTGCAGAAGCGACTGAAGGACAAGGTGGGTCAAGTCAGTTTGCAGAGCTTAAAGCCGTTCAGTTGGCTTTGGATATAGCTGAACGAGAGAAGTGGCCAAGACTCTACACTGACTCATGGATGGTGGCCAATGCTCTATGGGAATGGCTGGAGCGATGGAAAAAGGCCAACTGGCAGCGCCAAGGGAAACCCATCTGGGCGGCGGAGATGTGGCAGGACATCGCTGGCCGGGTAGAGAAGCTGAGTGTGAAGGTCCGTCACGTAGACGCTCATGTAGGCAAGAAACGGGCTAATGAGGAGCATCGTAACAACGAGCAGGCGGACCGAGCTGCCAGGATTAAAGTCTCTCAGGTAGATCTGGATTGGCAGCACAAAGGAGAATTATTTCTGGCTCGATGGGCCCATGACGCCTCCGGTCACCAGGGGAGAGATGCAACATACAGATGGGCTCGTGACCGAGGAGTGGACTTAACCAAGGACATTGTCTCACAGGTCATCCATGACTGCGAGACGTGTGCTGCCATCAAGCAGGCCAAGCGGGTGAAGCCTCTATGGTATGGTGGACGGTGGTCGAAGTACAGGTATGGGGAAGCCTGGCAAGTAGACTACATCACGCTCCCCAAGACCCGCCAAGCCAAGCACTACGTACTGACCATGGTAGAAGGAAGTACTGGATGGTTGGAGACATACCCCGTGCCTCATGCCACTGCCCGGAATACCATCCTGGGCCTTGAAAAACAAGTCCTGTTGCGACACGGCACCCCAGAGAGAATTGAGTCTGATAATGGGACCCATTTCAAGAATGGCCTCGTAGACACCTGGGCCAAAGAGTACGGCATTGAGTGGGTGTATCATATCCCCTACCATGCACCAGCTGCTGGAAAAGTTGAGCGGTGCAACGGACTGCTGAAAACCACCCTGAAGGCACTGTGTGGGGAGACTCTCAAACACTGGGAGCTGCATTTAGCAAAGGCCACCTGGTTGGTCGACACCCGAGGCTCCATCAATCGAGCTGACCCTACCCAATCAGAACTTTTGCATACTGTAGATGGAGATAAAGTCCCCGTGGTACATATGAGAGGAATGTTAGGGAAGACTGTTTGGATTAGTCCCACCTCAAGCAAAGGCAAACCCATCCGAGGGATTGTTTTTGCTCAAGGACCTGGTTCCACCTGGTGGGTAATGCAAAAAGATGGGGAGACACGTTGTGTACCACAAGGGAACCTAATTTTGAGTGAGAATGGTCTGTAATGTTTCATTGTATATATATATGTATATAGATAGGTGTATATAGTTTTAAAGGGATATAGTTTTTTAAAGGGGGTTAATTTGGGCATGACATGGATGGCATAGAATAAGGGGTGGATAATGTCCTAGTTAGGACAACTGAGACCAGTTCATCAGGGTATGGGTGTAACCCAAAACTGTGTATTCTATAGCCTTCCATGCCATTTCCCAGAAACTGTTATCAATGAACCATTTACACCATCTGCCCATAGAGCCTGACTCCTCAGGCTATAAACTAGGTGTTAAGAGGCCTGTGAGATAGGAGGATGCTCCTGTCCTCACACCCTTTGTGGAACTCCCCGCCCTGAGGGAAGTGCTGAGCATTCCTGCCTGAACTGCAGGATCTATAATCTTGGAGTCTTGGAACATTTTTAACCACTCTGTGGGATCCAGAGAAGGACTGCGGCTCATCGCTCTCAAACAGACGTGGACCACCACCCTATACTGGACTCCAATCACCACTTTGACCAGACTGCAACAGCTCTTCCCCCAGCATCTCACTGCAATCACCACTTTTGACTAGACTGCAACAGCTCTCCCACCAGCAGGTTCTTCCCCTCTCCCTTTACTTTGGACTCAAGCGGGGCCCAAGGAACACCACGTTGTTCATGCCCCAGGGTACTGGGTTATACATTTGGGTTTTGTGGGTTAAGACCAATTGTTTGTTTGTATGATTGTACTTACTGTATTATTTTAGTAAATTGTTATTCTGACTTATAATCTCTCCTTTGAGTTGAGTTCATTTCCCCTGCTGGTTAACTCTTAAACCAGCACAGCTGGGATCAGAGAGCTTCAGGAAAAGAGGGATCAGGTTGTGTTGGGATCAGAGAGCTCCAGGAAAAGAGGGATCAGGTTGTGTTGGGATCAAGCTGTGCTGGGAAAAGAGGGATCAGGTTGTGTTGGGATCAGGCTGTGCTGGGAAGAGGGATCAGAGACTGTTGGGACAGGAAGGATCAGGCTGTGTTGGGATCAGGCTGTGCTGGAAAAAGAGGGATCAGGCACTCTTGGGATAGGAAGGATCAGGCTGTGCTGGGAAAACAGGGATCAGGCTGTGATGGGATCAGGGTGTGTTGGGACAGGAAAAATCAGGCTGTGTTGGGATCAGGTTGTGTTGGGAAAAGAGGGATCAGGTTGTGTTGGGATCAGGTTGTGCTGGGAAAAAGGGATCAGGCACTGTTGGGATCAGGCTGTGTTGGGAAAAGAGGGATCAGGCACTGTTGGGATAAGGCTGTGTTGAGACAGGAGGGATCAGGCTGTGCTGGGATCAGGCTGTGTTGGGATCAGGCTGTGTTGGGATCAGGCTGTGTTGGGATCAGGCTGTGCTGGGATAGGAAGGATCAGGCTGTGCTGGGATCAGGCTGTGCTGGGACAGGGAGGATCAGGGTGTGTTTGGACAGGAAGGATCAGGCACTGTTGGGATCAGGCTGTGTTGGGAAAAGAGGGATCAGGCACTGTTGGGATCAGGCTGTGTTGGGAAAAGAGGGATCAGGCACTGTTGGGATCAGGCTGTGTTGGGAAAAGAGGGATCAGGCTGTGTTGAGATCAGGCTGTGTTGGGATCAGGCACTGTTAGGACAGGAGGGATCAGGCACTCTTGGGATCAAGCTGTGCTGGGAAAAGAGGGATCAGGCACTGTTGGGATCAGGCTGTGTTGGGATAGGAAGGATCAGGCTGTGTTGGGAAAAGAGGGATCAGGCTGTTTTGGGATCAGGCTGTGTTGTAAAAGAGGGATCAGGCTGTTTTGGGATCAGGCTGTGTTGTAAAAGAGGGATCAGGATGTTTTGGGATCAGGCACTGTTGGGATCAGGCTGTGCTGGGACAGGAAGGATCAGGCTGTGTTGGGAAAAGAGGATCAGGCACTGTTGGGATCAGGCTGTTTTGGGATCAGGCTGTGTTGGGATCAGGCTGTGTTGGGATCAGGCACTGGTGGGATCAGGCACTGGTGGGATCAGGCTGTGCTGGGACAGGGAGAAGGGTGAGGATGTGTCAGGATGAGGGTTCAACCCCCCCAGATTCCCCCCCCAGCCCCCCTGAGCTCTCCCTGTGCCCTGGCACCCCCCTGCAGGGAGGGGTTTGGGGACCTGAGCCAGCACAGAGCTCATGTCCAGGAGGAATCCCAACCCAAACACTCGTGTACCTTCCTGACGGCGTATTTGGGGTCGGTGGGAAGGATCAGCACGATCTTCCCGTCCCAGAACTCCGCCACAACTCGCTCTTTCTTCCAGCCCTGCCAGGGAGAGGGGGGAAAAACATCCCAGACAAACAAGGGAGGAGGGAGGAAGTGATTCAGGGAGGCCTCTGGCAGAGGCTGCTGGAACACGAACCGCTCCGGCTTTCGGGAATTAAGTCACATCCCATCCATCACCCAAACAACCCGAACTGCACTTCAGCCTCCCCTCTGGATACAAAAGGTTTGCCTGGCTGTACCTGGACAGGGAATGGTGGATATTCCAGGCTGGAAAAGCCCCTGGGGAACACGGAGCCCAACAATTCTCCCGTCACTTCCAGGGCCATCACTGATCCGTGTCCCCGAGTGCCACATCCACGGGGATTTCGGATCCCTCCAGGGTCGGGGACTCCACCCCCGTGCCAGGGCTGGAGAACCCTTTCCATGAAGGAATTTTTCCCAGCCTTTTTTTCCCCACCAGGAGGCTTTCCAGCCACTCCTTTGCCCAGCTTGGGGCATATTCCATGGGGTCGATCCGAGCGATCCAAGTGAAGGACGTGGCACTCATCGATTCCCACACCGTGGGGATCCAGCCTGTCCAGACCCCACTGCAGAGATTCCCGCCCTCAGGAGATCCACATCCCAGCCAATCCTGACCCCAGGCATCCCCTCACCACGTATCTGAGCCCCTCCAGGAACCTCTCGTGGTGCTGGATGTGCTGGGCCAGCTTGGGGCATTCCATGGGGTCGATCCGAGTTCCCCACACCACCTCCCTCCCACGGTCCTGTCCAGATCCCTCCACAGAGATTCCTGCCCTCAGGAGATCCACATCCCAGCCAATCCTGATGCCAGACATGCCCTCACCACGTATCTGAGCCCCTCCAGGAGCCTCTCGTGGTGCTGGATGTGCTGGGCCTCGTCCTCCGGGCTGGCGGCCGAGTAGATCATCCCGCAGGATTTGCACACGATGGCTCCAAAGTGCTTCTGCCCCGCGTCCTGAGGGGGAGAGACATCCAGGGGAACATTCCAGAGCTGCTGGGGCTCAGGGCTGAGGCTCCCAGTCGGCTCCAGGGGGAAGTGTTTGCCTCCAGATGAATTGGGAGGGACGGGGAATTATCCCCGCGGGGAACGGGGTGTTTGGGACGAGGGTGGAGGGAGATCAACTGAGGGGAAAAATGGGAAAGAGCCTCACAAAAATAATAAAAAAAAGCAAAACAAAAGGAAAACTGTAGGGTTTTGGTCAGCTCTCTGTAAATGAGTCATTTTTATCTGGGGAATAGAGGGAAGAGAAAGCTGTTTGGGTTCCCTAAACCCCTGGTTTTTACCTCAAATCCCCTCAGAGCCTCCCTCAAACTCCTCCAAAAACACCATTTTTACCCCAAATCCCCCAAAACAGATTAAAATCTGGACTTTTACCCTTATTTTCCCCTCAAGCTCCTCCAAATAATAACACTTTTACCCCAAATCCCCTCACAAACTCCCCAAAAATGCGGGCTTTACCCCAAATTCCCCCTCAAACTTTGAATAATGCCACTTTTACTACAAATCCCCCCCACACTCCCCAAAACCTCCCTAAAAATGTGACTTTTACCCCAAATCACCACTCCCAAAAACCTGATTTTTACTTCAAAACCTGATTTTGTCAGGAAGTCTCCTGAAACCTGATTTTTACCTCAAATCCCCTCAGATCCTTCCTCAAACTCTTCCAAACTCACCATTTTTAACCCAAATCCCTCCAATCGATTAAAATCAGGACTTTTACCCCAAATTCCCCCCCAAACTCAACAAAAATGCCACTTTTACCCCAAATTCCCTCACAAACTTCCCAAAAATGTAGGAGTTACCCCAAATTCCCTCTCAAACTCACCAAAACTGCCACCTCTATCCCAAATCCCTTCAAACTCCCTCAAAACTCATGAAAAATTTGAGTTCATCCCAGAATTCCCCTCGAAGTCACCAAAACCCTGTATTTTACCTCAAATCCCCTCAGAGCCTTCCTCAAACTCCTCCAAACCTGCCATTTTTACCCAAACCCCCCGAAATGGATTAAAATCGTGACTTTTACCCCAAATTCCCCCTCAAACTCATCAAAAATGCCACTTTTACCAAAAATCCCCTTCCAAACTCCCCAAAACATGGGGTTTACCCCCAATTCCCCCTCAAACTCACAAAAAACGCCACTTTTACCCCAAATCACCACTCAAAGTCCCCAAAAACCTGTTTTTTACCTTAAATCCCCTCAGATCCTTCCACAAACTGCTCCAACCCCGCCACTGCTACCCCAAACCCCCTGAAAGGAATTAAAATCAGGACTTTTACCCCAAATTCCCCCTCAAACTCACCAAAAATGCCACTTTCAGCCCAAGTTCCCTCAGACTCCCCTAAAACTCACTGAAAATACAACTTTTACCCCGAATCACCCCTCAAAGTCCCCAAACCCCTGTTTTTTACCTCAAATCCCCTCAGAGCCTTCCTCCAACTGCTCCAAACCTGCCATTTTTACCCCAAGTCCCCTCACAAACTCCTCAAAAACGTGCCTTTTACCCCAAATTCCTCCTTAAACTCATCACAGCCCACGCTTTCGCCCCAAATCCCCTCACACTACCCCAAAACTCACCAAAATTGCAACTTTTACCCTGAATCACCCCTCAAAGTCCCCAAACCCCTGTTTTTTACCTCAAATCCCCTCAGAGCCTTCCTCCAACTGCTCCAAACCCGCCATTTTTACCCCAAATCCCCTCACAAACTCCTCAAAAACACCACTTTTGCCCCAAATCCCCTCCCACTCCCCAAAAACATGGGTTTTACCTGAAATTCCCCCTCAAGCTCCCTGAAAACACCATTTTAACCCAAAATCCCCTCACAAACTCTCCAAAAACGTGGCTTTTACCCCAAATTCCCCCTTAAACTCATCACAGCCCACGCTTTCACCCCAAATCCCCTCACACTACCCCAAACCTCACCAAAATTGCAACTTTTACCCCGAATCACCCCTCAAAGTCCCCAAAACCCTGTTTTTTACCTCAAATCCCCTCAGAGCCTTCCTCCAACTGCTCCAAACCTGCCATTTTTACCCCAAGTCCCCTCACAAACTCCTCAAAAACACCACTTTTGCCCCAAATCCCCTCCCACTCCCCAAAAACATGGGTTTCACCTGAAATTCCCCCTCAAGCTCCCTGAAAACACCACTTTGACCCGAAATCCTCTCACAAACTCCTCAAAAACGTGGCTTTTACCCCAAATTCCCCCTTAAACTCATCACAGCCCACGCTTTCACCCCAAATCCCCTCACACTACCCCAAACCTCACCAAAATTGCAACTTTTACCCCGAATCACCCCTCAAAGTCCCCAAAACCCTGTTTTTTACCTCAAATCCCCTCAGAGCCTTCCTCCAACTGCTCCAAACCCGCCATTTTTACCCCAAATCCCCTCACAAGCTCCCTAAAAACATGTTTTTTTGCCAAAACCCGTTTCTTTGGTAAAACCCCCCCACCTTTACCATCAATTTGGAGTTAAAATTGTGGGAGCTCCTTTTTTTTTTTTTTACCCCAATTTTTCGGGTTTAAACTGAGGGGAAAAAAACCCCCTTTTCCTTCATTTTAAGGGGACTAAATTGAATTTAAAGTGTTTCTCAGGAGGGAGCTGCTCCCAGCTGCCCATTCCTGATTCCTGCTCCCATTTCCAGCTCGGAGCCCCCTCTGCTCCCCCAGGAAGCCGTGGGAAAGGGAAATCATCCGGCCAAATCCTCTGGAATCCACGAAGCCTTGGCTGAGCTTCCTGATATTTTATTAAATATAAATAAATATCCATAAATCCCTGTGGAATTCCCCAAGTGTTAATCCCAGGGAAACCACAGCAATGGGTTTTCCAGCTGCTGCCACGCGTTAAGCTGCCCAGCAGCTCCTTTTGGGATTCCCTCGTGGAATATTCCGGGTTTCCTCATCCCAAAATTCCCCGCCCCAGGACCCAGCACATCCTTACAATGATCATCTGATCCCTGGAACCTCTGCAGAGCTCCTTGGCCTTCCTGCTTTTCTGGGAGGTGTGAGGGACTTTTCCAGGCGGGCTGCTCCCAAATGGAGGTGGAATCTCATCCAGCGGCCTGGAAACCACGGAAAACAGAGGGAAAAGAGTTAATTGTCGGGATTCCAGAGCATTTCAGGGAGAGCAAAGCTTTCCAGGAGTTGTGGAGGGAGGATCCAGGAAAAGCCATAATTGGATAAAAGGTTAATTAACTCTGGATTAAGGATCTTTGCCATCCTAATCCCAAGATTTTGGAAATCCAGCGGCAAACTGAAGGGATAAACAGCAAAGTGAGGAGCAGAGGGTGAGATCCAAGAATGGAACAGTGGAAGGTTCCCAGCTCATGGGATGGGATGGGATGAGCTTTGAGGTCCCTTCCCACACCTGATCCAGGTGGGATACCTGGACAAAGCCAAGGATAAGGGATGTGGAAACACCTGGAATCACCAGGTGTGGATCCAGGCATGGGAGAGCTGGGAACGTCCACCTGGAGAAGAGAAGGATCCAGGAAAACCTTGGAGCCCCTTCCAGTGCCTAAAGGGGCTCCAGGAGAGCTGGAGAGGGTGTGGAATGACGGGACAAGGAGGGAACAGCTTCCCACTGCCAGAGGGCTGATGGGATACTGGGAAGGAATCCTTCCCTGGGAAGGGACACTTAAACAATCCCAAAGCGTGGAATTCCAGTGGTTGTCCAGCGACCCTGGAAAGCCCGGGAATGAATCTCATGGAAGGGGTGGAATTAATTTGGAGCCACACCAAACGGTTCCACAGCTCTGGACCCCGAGGAGAACTTCCAGAGCACAAAGCACATCCCGCGGGAAAAGCTGGAGCTCATCGGCTCTCCCAGGGGACGACGGGAAATCCAGAAGTGCTTTGGAAGTTCCTGGCAAACAGCGGGATTTTCCATGTTTTCCAGGGCTCCACGGGAGGTGTCCGGAAAAGCCAAGGGAGGAGGCAAAGCAAACATTGGAACCAGATCCCTTCCAGCAGCCGGGGAGAACGGGAGCCAGGAGTTTGGGAACGTTTATTTTGGCTCCTTCGGGAGCGACTGGAACTGGTTTGGTTGGATGTCCACAGTGAACTCGGCTCGGGAGGGGTTTTGTTGGGAACAAAACGGGTTTAGGATGAGGGATGGGAGGTTTGGGTGGGAGATTGGGAAGGGATTCCTGGCTGGGAGGGTGGGGAGGGGCCGGGATGGAATTCCCAGAGAAGCTGTGGCTGCCCCTGGATCCCTGGGATTGTCCAAGGCCAGGCTGGATTCCCTGGGATAGCGGGAGGTGTCCCTGAACATGGAATGGGATTGTCCTTAAGTTCCCTTCCCACCCAAACCATTCCAGCATTCCAGGATAAAGGACACTCAGGATCCAGTCAGAGGGGTTTTTATGGAATGTGGGGATGGAAAAGGCAGGAAAGGGGAAGGGAGACCCTGCCCTGAGTGCCGAGATTCCCAGGGAACCCCCTTGTTCCCGGAACTCCTTCCCAGGGAGGAGCTGGGCTGGGGCTGGATCCAATGGCAGGCTCTGGCTCCAGGCTGGGAGAGCTGGGAATGGCCAGGCTGGATTTGGGAAGGATCCCGGGAGAGCTTGGAGCACATTCCAGAGCCTGAAGGGGCTCCAGGAGAGCTGGAGAGGGCCTGGGGATCAGGGCCTGGAATGCCAGGCCCCAGGGAATGGATCCCAGTGGGAAAGGGGAGATTTGGGGGGGAGATTGGGAAGGGATTCCTGGCTGGGAGGGTGGGGAGGGGCTGGGCTGGAATTCCCAGAGAAGCTGGGGCTGCCCCTGGATCCCTGGCAGTGTCCAAGGCCGGGTTGGATCCCCTGGGATAGCGGGAGGTGTCCCTGTTCCAGGTGGACCTGGATGAGCTCTGCTGTCCCTTCCCACCCAACCCATTCCCAGGATCCACCCAAACCCCCCCAGGGCTGGGGCATTCCCGGGATGAGGGTACCCCGGGATCAAAACATCCCCCTGTCCCAAGGATTCCATCACTCCTGGAGAGACTGGAACGGGATCTCACCTTTTCTTGCTGGCCAGGGCTGCAGAGAATATGGGATACACCACGGCTTTGGAGGGAGAAGCTGGAAAAAACAAGTGGAATTTCGTGGTTTAGGGTCATTTTCCTTTGCAGGACACACGGAAACAGCAATTCCAACCCCAACCTGGCTTCCCAGTGGCCAAACCCCCCTGGAATTCCTGTTTTCCTGGCTATTAATTAAGATTTTTAATCGGGAGGTTTCTCCACTTCCCATAATTTTGGCCCAAACAGCCCCGGACCTGAGGCTTCCTCTTCCCAGAAAAACTGGGAAGCAACGAGTGCAAAGTTACAGCTGAAAACTGCAAGTTTCGGGATAATTCAGCAAAAACTTTGGGAATATTTATTAATTGGGAATATTTTTGATGATTTTTGATGATATTTTTGATGATTTTTGATGCTTTTTGATGATATTTTTGATGATTTTTGATGATATTTTTGATGATTTTTGATGATTTATTACTTGGGAATGTTTTTGCCCTGGGGTTTAAAAAGTTTGGGGTTTGTGTTGTCTGATGCTTATTTTTGATTGGATTCCCAAACAAGGAGCCCTCAGGAATTACAGGAATGTAGGGAATGTAGTGGTTTGAACCTTGTTTTCCCCAGAGGCTGGGAGAAGTGGTAGACCCCAAGGGGTGGAAACCCCTGGAAGTTTTGAAGTTCTGCCCAATGGGCGCTCCTGCAGAAATGTAAACATACCACAACCAGACCGGAAAAGAAGAGTTGTAGTTTTGGTTGTTGTAGGAGAGGTGGCCATGTTGTAGAGCCACGAGGTAGGGGCTCTGAGCCCCTTGGGCCCTCTGGGCCTCCCAGCCCCTGGCTGGGGGGCTGCAGGGACCTGGAACAGCATAAAGCTGGGCTAGGTGCCTGTAGTTATGCCGGGAGATGTTTTCTCCATGGGCACAGAGCAGCAGCCGACGCTGACCAGAGAAACGGTGGCAGAGAGCCAGAGATAAGAACCTGAACTGAAGAAGCAGCAGAAGCAACATGCAGCACTGCAGAGGAGACTCCTGGAAGGAGAGTCGAGGCAAGGAGAGCCAGCAGCTGAGAGCTACAGAGTTCTTGGGGGTAAGACTGATACCAGATCCCCAAAACTCCTTTGAGACCTCCTGGAAGGAGGAAGATGATAGACTCTTACTTGAAAGAGCCTTGAAGTGCGACATGCACTGTAGAAAGGAGCTCGAGAGCTCCGAGAGGAATGCAGGGGGAGTTGACCTTGGCTCTCCCCCCCCTCGCACTGCTGCCACGGTGGCAGCCTGAGAGACAGGGCACAGAGGCCCTGCAAGAGATACCAGACCGTCACGAAGAACCCCCTGTGTCTTCGTGATATGACGTGGTGATACGACCTTGTCTGGGGTTACGAAGACCACGGAAGACCCCTCGGTTGTGAGGCGATGGGGCCGGGGGAGCTTGAATACCTCCCTCGTGGACGCTGGCAGAAATCCAGCTATCAGCTGCTGCATGAGATGAGAAGAAACCTGCTGCCTCAGAAGATGCTGCTGTTCAGAGACTGGAAGGGATCTGTCCTTCTTTCCCTCCTGGACTTTTATTTGGAGGGGAGAAGAGATTTGATCCATTGTAAATACATATGTCATGGTAGAGATAGTTTGTGATCATGTGTATAATGTGATATGGTATTTATTTGTACAGTCATTGTAATATATTCCCTTTCCCCACTTTGAGTCTGGTGTGTTTTGTCTGGAAAAACCCATCTCACATTAGGTTGAGATGTGAGAGGAGGAATGGAGCTAGGGAATTGGATGTTGAGGCTATCTCAAACCATGACAGGAAGCAGAGGAGTGGCTCTAAAGCTTCCCAAAAAAACCATTCCATGGGGGTGTTTTCCAGAGAACAACTAAAAATACCTTGGGAATGTCAGCAGTGGAAAAAGAGTGATGAAAATCCCAATAAATGACAAAAAACCCAAGAGCTTCCCGGAAATCCGGGATTTTAGGGGGCCAGGACACTTCTTGGGAAAGGGCCCAGCAGGGAAATAACACCGGGAAAACTTTGGGAATGAGGATTTGATCCAGAGGTGGAGACAGCAGGAAGCCCAGGGAATGTCGTTCCTCGGGACAAGGAGCTGGGAAAAGGGGAGACTTTAAGAACAAGATTCCAAAAATGGAGGAATAAATTCCCAAGTGGAGCGAAATTAAAGGGAAAGGGAGGAAAAAAAACCCCTCAGGAATGTTGCTGATTCCTTCAAGGAACAGAATAAGGGCGGATGGGCCAGGAAAAAAAGTGGGATAAGAGGCAAACAGGGGTAAATCCTGACCTGGGAACTCAGGGAATCCAAAGGGAATAAAAAGCCGAGGGAAAGGTGGGTGAAACACCAGGAAAACCCCCGGGAATGGCGAGAGGAAAACAAAGGATTCCAAGGAATGGAATGTGGTTTTATTCCCATTGTTTAGGAAAGGATCAGCTGGGACAGAAAGGAGGGATGAAACCCCACAGAGGGAGGAATTCCACAGGGGGCGAGGCTGGAATTGGGAATGCTGCCTGTTTTTAACAGGGAAAACATGGGAAAAAAGCAGGGAATTGGGGGGAAAACACCAGGAGTTCTGGCACTGGAGGAGGCAGCAGGGAGAGAACAAAAGGCTGTTTTTCCCTGATAAACCAACATTTAACCCAATAACACCTCGACAATGATTTAATCCTTGTTGTTATCCGTCGGAATTCCCGCCGGGAAAAATAATGAGCGTCTTTGTCCGTGTCGCTGTGGGAGTTTGGGGATCATTTTGGGCACAGAGGGGGGGTAAAAGTTTAACTGTAGAGACATTTTTGGGTTAAAAAGGGTCAGGTCGGGATAAAAAGGGGGGAAAACTCAACATTCCAGGGAAAACTCAGGGATGGGGATGGGGGGGGGGTTGGAACTGTGGAGGAATTGTGTGGAAATCAAGGAAAAATTCCCTTCCTGCTAATTGGGGGCTTGTAAGGATTGTGGGGGGGGGGAGGTTTGTTTGGGAATATCCCACCGGGAAAAATAAAGGAAGGAGTCCAATGCCTCAAAGTCTGGATGGAAAAAGGGGAAGCAGGAAGATCCAGGGAAACGATCCAGCGAGGAATGAACGGGGAAAAATGTCATTAAAAGTGATTTCCCAAATTTTCCCGGGAACGGGCAGGTTAGAGGGATAAAAGGAATTCCCCTGGGGATCAAAACTGAAAGGAATCCATGAAATCCCCCTCATTTCATTTATTATCCTTGTTAAACACTGGGATTGTGGGACAGCATGGGACTCAGGGCTGATCCCGCTGGGAAAAGCGGGCGAAGACATTCCCAAAGATTTTTCTGGCTCGTTTTCCCCCAGCACAGAAAACTCCTGGATTAAAGCAGGACCAGGAAAAACCCAACTCACCCTGTTTGTTCCCTCTGGGGGGAGATTGGCTGGAAAGGACGACACAATCCCGGGATTCCCAGCCTGGAGAGGAGCTGGGCCCATCAGCGCCCTGGAAAAGAGCACGAGGGGTTTCAGGGACAAAAGGAAAACTTGGATCTGAGGTGGGGCAACGGTTGGATTTGATGGTCCCAAAGGTCTTCTCCGAGCAAATCCCAGAGAAGCTGTGGCTGCCCCTGGATCCCTGGGAATGTCCAAGGCCAGGTTGGACAACCTGGGATAGTGGGAGGTGTCCCTGCCCATGGAATGGGATGGGATTTAAGGGAAGGGATTTAAACTATTCTGGGATCCTGTGATTCCATGGAGTTGGAGGATGCTTCAGGCTGGGATTGCTCCAGGTTGGGTTTAGAGCCAGAGCCCTTGGAGCACATTCCAGAGCCTGAAGGGGCTCCAGGAGAGCTGGAGAGGGACTGGGGACAAGGCCTGGAGGGACAGCACACAGGGAATGGATCCCACTGCCAGAGGGCAGGGAGAGATGGGAGATGGGGAAGGGATTCCTGGCTGGGAGGGTGAGGAGGGGCTGGGCTGGAATTCCCAGAGAAGCTGTGGCTGCCCCTGGATCCCTGGGAGTGTCCAAGGCCAGGCTGGATTCCCTGGGATAGCGGGAGCTGTCCCTGAACATGGAATGGGATGGTCCTTAAGTTCCCTTCCCACCCAAACCATTCCAGGATTCCAGGATAAAGGACACTCAGAATCCACTCAGAGGGATTTTTCTGGAATGTGGGGATGGAAAAGGCAGGAAAGGGGAAGGGAGACCCTGCCCTGAGTGCCGAGATTCCCAGGGAACCCCCTTGTTCCCTGAACTCCTTCCCAGGGAGGAGCTGGGCTGGGGCTGGATCCAATGGCAGGCTCTGGCTCCAGGCTGGGAGAGCTGGGAATGGCCAGGCTGGAGAAGGGAAGGATCCCGGGAGAGCTTGGAGCACATTCCAGAGCCTGAAGGGGCTCCAGGAGAGCTGGAGAGGGACTGGGGACAAGGGATGCAGGGACAGGACCCAAGGAATGGATCCCAGTGCCAGAGGGCAGGGAGAGATGGGACACTGGGAAGGAATCCCTGGCACCCTTTCCCACCCCCGGAGCCGTGTCCGTGCCCAGGATCAGGATCAGGATCAGCAGCTCCAGGCCCAGCCGGGGCCGTTCCGGCAAAACAAGTGTCGAAATTCCCGGAAAAGTCCCCAGTTTGGGACTGAAGCCCAGTTTGGGAGCAGTTTTGCCGTGTCTGGTCCGTGACTTCACCGTCTGGGAAGGGCAGGGCCGGGAAAAAACCCGAGAGCGGCTCCGGGAGGGGCCGAGTCTTCCAAGGAAAACCTTTTTTCCCCGTCCCCTTTGGAGCCGAGGTTTCCCGGGAAAAGCCCCCAGGCCTCTTCTCCTGATCCCCCCCCAGAGCTCAGGCCTGGCCACGCTCCTGACAACTCCAAAGAACTGAGGGAAAAGAAAGCTTAAAAATCCCTTCTCCAGCTTTTTTTTCCACAGGGGAAAAAAAGAAAACAACAAACAGGGGGATGAGACGGGTTGTTTTCCTTGGAAAAAAAGATCCTGCTGAGAGCTGAGAGCTTTCCCTTCCAGCCACAGGCACTGGAATGTTTCCCGGCACTGAGAGGAATTCCTGCTGTTTATCCCGGTTTTACACCTTCCCAAGGCAGGCAGGAGGGAAGAATCCAGGGATATCTGCAATTATGGGAGCTGGTTTAATCCCAGCAGCTCCCAGACTTACCCCGTCTCCCTCCGCTCCGGACCTGGAAGCGCAGGGCACATTCCCAGTTTTCCCTGGAGATGCTTCTCCTCCGTGTCCCGGCTCTCCCGGATTCCCGGAGCTCTCCCTGTTCTCCCTGCCCTCCTCCTGGGAATCAGGAATCCTTGGGGACACCCCCCTCTCCTCCTCCGGGGGGGTTTCTCCTCCACCCTCGGGCTCCGCGTTTTCCGCCGGCTCCTCGTTGTCCCGCGGGGATTTGGGAAGGGCCTGGAGAGCCCTGGGGTCTCCGGGGTTTTTCCTGGAGTGGGATTTCTTCCCGGCAGCGAAAAAAGCCGCTCCCAGCCGGAGCTTCAGGGCCGGTTTCACCCTCATGCTCAGCACCCGGAAGGGAGAATCCATCTTTTTCCGGACCAGGCAATTCCCGGCTTCCCTCTCCGCGCTCGCCTTTCCCGCCGGGATCTCTCCCTTGGTTTTCTTCGGCTTTGGGACGCTCTGGCCCCGTTTGGGATTCGGGGCGTGTTTGGCCGCCTTGGGCTTGGGATTCCTGCCCCCATTCCCGCTGCAATTCCCGCTGCTGTTCCCCACCCTGCCCGGAGCCGGGACATTCCCGTCCCCGCTCCTCCTTCCCAAAACCTGGATCTCCTGGAGCTTCTTCCTCTCCACGGGGTCCACGTAGTTCTTCCCTTTGCCATAAAAAGCCCCCACGGGCACGTGGGGCTTGGAGGAGGAGGAGGAGCTGAGGGATGATTTCCCGGGAGATTCCCCCTGGAGCGGGGAGATCTCCAACCTCCTGGGAATCCCCGTTTTCCCCGGGACATCCCTGTTTTCCTTCGTCTCGTCCCCGGAGCCGGGAGACCAGCGGATCTGGGAAGCAAAGCGCTTGTTGCCGGGTTTCCGGGAGGGGGAAGGAGCCTCGGGAAAGGCTCTGATCCGTTTCCTCACGGGGGTCTGGAAGGCCGAGGGGGAACTGCGGGGGAAA